TGTCTTGGGAATACTCTTGTAAGATGTGTTTTTCAACTATTACTTTCATACATACATTTTTCAGACTTTGTTAAAATACTAAAATTAAAACGATGTTAGAAAACAAGTAACAGTATTACATCATAAATATATTAGCAACAATAAAGGCTGTTTCTGAAGAGTTAGTGGTGCTTTATTGTCATTGGCAGCTGATAGCGGGACCCCTAGTCAGATGGCTCGTCAGAGGCAGTGCGGATACAGCACACTACACAAGGAGGCAGTGTGACCGCCACTGTAACAGATCGCAATGACTCCCCAAACTATAAAGTTAGGTGATTGAAAAGGGGATGCGTTTAATAATAGTATTTCCTTTAAATAAATGATGAATCAATTCGCTATTACATCTCATCCTGTTAAGTGTGTTTTTGTGTTCGGCTGGCTTGATGCAGGTTTATGGTGATCCTTTAATTTATGCACTACATAAATTGTGCCAATGTGTTTGTTTGTGTTCTCTCATAATGACTGTTCAACAGTCAAATATGGTAACACCTGTTGTGGAGATGTTGACGTGTGTGTAATGAAGGTAGGCAGGTGTATGTAGGTAAGTGGGATATACGAGTATATATATGTGTGTGTGTGTGTGTGTGTTGGTAGTTCTGCGAGTGTGTGGATGGTTCTTGGTTATCTGGATGAGGGTGGGTGTGTGCTCGTAATTGGATGGGTGGACTTGCATGTGTCTGTGTGAGTGTAATAAAGCGTATGTCTGTGTCTGTCTGTGTGTCTGTCTGCATTGTCTGTGTATAAACCAAAGTTTGAAAACATGTATAATACCGTAAATATTAAGATCATCATCAATATCATTCTCATGAACCACCGAAAATAAAACAAGGATTTAAAAAAATATAATCCTACAGATGTATAGTGATCATTATACTCTCATTATCACACTCTGTGTTTCTAGGCGTGTGGTGGCAACTTAAATTTTCTCAACAATGTAGAAAGTTCTAATTCACAGCAGGAGAAGTTTATTATATCTCCCCAGAGCTATGATTTCCAACCCCGGCAGGAACGTCAAACTGAGTCATCCAGTGTCGTGTTTACATTATACACTGTGGGCCGAATGATATCTAGTACCGGTAATATTTACTGAAGCACCAAGCAAGGATTATGTAAGATTTAGTACGGCATGGATTAACGCCTACCAAATTTTATTGGCCTCGTGGCGCAATGGTAGCGCGTCTGACTCCAGATCAGAAGGCTGGGTGTTCAAGTCACTCCGAGGTCAAATATTGAGTTTTGCTGCCTAAATAAGAAGTGGGAAGATAGATGTGTTCATGAGTTTTGGAGAAAAAAATATTTGGATGAAATTATCTAGTTTTTAGGATTCAATTGATATCGATGCATTTCATTCCACAGAGAACTGTAAAGTGTCACATTACATAAGAATAATCATCACAGATAATGTACACCAATCATTCATAGCCTTTCAAAAACTCGGGACTTTACTCCCCTCACCTGTCCCTTGCTCAGATCTCTCTTTATTTTTCATTTTTGCTTTCCACAGAACCAAGACATTTAGGTTCCTTCATTCTTTACAACTTCAATATTTTTGTCTTACTATCAACTAAAATTTTTACATTAACCATTAACTTTATAATTATGATAGTCTTTAATTAGACAATATCAAATATTTTTGTAACTAGTCAAAATATTTACAATCATGACATTATCTGAATACCCATCAAACTATAGTAAAATTTAACAGATTACCTTGAAAAATAATTTCTGGGTGATGCTCTCACTATATACAAATACTGTAGTTTCGTTTCATCATCGCTATGCCACAAACTTACATTAATGTATTTTTTGGTTCAGTGTATACATAACATTCTATAAAGTGCATATCTACAGTGTACACTACATTTGCTGCATTATTGAAATCAACATATTTATTTGTGATTTATCTTATTGACCTTCCAGCAATGGCAATCATAAATAATAATACATGCTGTGAATGTGTAAATGTTTGTGTGTGTTTGTGTACATTTAAAAATTATCTGTATACAAATAAAGTGGACTGTATCAAAAATTAGCAACAGAGTAAAAATAAAGTGAAGTGGGGCAGCAGAGTCCAAGGAGTTGCTGGTTTGTTCCCAGGCCACCCCTAGTCCACCCAGCTGTAGGTGTGTACCTAACATGACAACTGGGGAAGTGAAGGCGGCCATGCTGTCTCCTGTGTATCATACTATATAATATAACATTGTTCCTGATGGAAATTTTCGTACATGATAATCAAGAGAACTGTCGTAAGGAAAAACAGAAACCACGTGAAGTAAAGGATGTATCATGAGAAGGAGACATTCTCTAGAAAATGAAAATCTGTTGACAATATAATTTACGTCTTCTCAATAACGTGGCCAACTCATGTATACCTGGTGAAAATATCCTGCAGTATTATATCTTCCCTACAGGTCACAATGAACAATTCAAACTCATGAGTAACTTTCCATCTTATCCGATTTCATTTAGAGATTATTTAAGCAAATGAATACATAACATTTATCGGCCTCGTGGCGCAATGGTAGCGCGTCTGACTCCAGATCAGAAGGCTGGGTGTTCGAGTCACTCCGAGGTCAAATTTAACTATCCACGCTTATAATGTCTATCGGAGAGTTTGACATGTGGTGGTCAGCATTTAGCAAAAAAAAATCTTGTGATGAAAGAGTTTTGTCTAGGTTTAAAGGAGAGTAATAGATGTCATTACACAAACGTCCACACCTTTTACTCATGCCCCTTGTGACAATATGGACTTTACACCACTCACTTTCCCCGAGCCAAGGCCACCCTGCATCCTTCAAATTTATTTCACACAAAACAAGTATCAATGTTAATTTTATTTACCATGATTTAAATAAGTATTCTAATCATTATTCATGCATAATTAGTAATATTTTGTTTGTTGTGGAAGTAATAACAATAAGTAGAAGTAATAGTAATAACAGTAGAAGTATAATTACTATCATTATCCACCTTACCTAACTCCCTAGCCGCCCCCCCCCCCGGACTCCCACCATATTAAACAGAAGTACTTTTGTTATCTGGTACCAATAAAAGCAACTTTATTGAAGCGTCATGGTATAATTTTACATTCTATGTGGAATGAGAGTTCGCTTGGACCCAGTCGGTCGTAAACCAACAGACAACACGCGCTGACTCCGCAGATTATGGGCAACTCGCAAAAAAAATACCACAAGATTAAATAATTTACGGTCCGACTAATTACCCAAATGTACCCAAATGTACCCAAATGTAGTCGCAATGAAGTCAAATGATGGTCCTACAAGCGTAAATCGGGCTGTGAATCACTTCTCGATTATTATTTGGTGTCAAAAGTCACAAAAAATTGGTAAACTTAATTTAATCTGAGTTGTGTTAGGTTAGGTTAGGTTAGGTTAGGTTAGATCAGGTACATGCACTCGATCTATTAACTCAGATTAAATTAAATTTACCAATTTTTTGTGACTTCGTGACACCAAATACCAGTCGAGAAGTGATTGGCAGTCCGATTTATTCACGTAGGACCATCATTTGACTTCATTGCGGCTACATTTGGGTTCATTTGGGTAATTACTCGCTCCCTCGGTACATGCACGCGATCTATTAACTCAGATTAAATTACGTTTTCCAATTTTTTTTTTACTTTGTGACACCAAATACTAGTCGAGAAGTGATTGGCAGTCCGATTTATTCACGTAGGACCATTATTTGACTTCATTGCGGCTACATTTGGGTACATTTGGGTACATTTGGGTAATTAGTCGGACCCCAAGATTTATGCTTTGTACAATAGTACAGTATATATGATAATTATTTATTCAGTATATAATTATTTGATTTTTATTGCCAACAACTAACAGTAATTGTGATCAGCTGTTCGCGTACGGCATACCAATATTACCTTTTTTCCTATGTTGGCAGAGCTGGAGCAAGTCTGACTTGGACAAAGCTCACCGTCAGGATTCATCAAGAGGAAAGCCCGCGTAAAACGATCTTGAATACGGCCCGAAAATTCAAGTTATCAACTTCAACTTTACTGGAAACTTTCTCGCTATATTAATAGAGTTCAATAAGCATTTCACTAATTGGTAAAATAATACGTTATTTAAATATTAGAACAGCAGTCATACCATGACAAAATTTCTCATTAGTATAAATATAACAGTTTCCTAAGAGCGATTTTCATGCCCATTTAAAAATAGAGTAATTATTATTGCTTCTCTGGTATCATACAACCTTGAAAATAGTTGAGCCTCGTCAGCAGTACGCCAAAAGTAATCTAGTGTTAAATGTGTTTATGTGGTGGAGCAGATTAATTCTCTTTTATAATGTCTGCGTTAACATCACGTCCGATGAATAAATTAAGTCACAGTCAGTCGGCGTGTTTGTTTGTGTGCTCGCATAATGAGAGTCAACACTGATGAAGAGTGACACCAATTCAGAATGTTAATATTTAATGTGTGTGTGTGTGTGTGTGTGTGTGTGTGTGTGTGTGTGTGTGTGTGTGTGTGTGTGTGTGTACCGTTTGCTATCTTTATCTTCATGTACGTGTACAGTCAAATAGGATCCCCTAAATTGCAGTGTTTATAAGAGGTACAAGGGGTAAGGGGTTCTGGGGTAGGGGTCAGTTCCTGCACTGCTCACAACCTCCCCAGTGGATCCCTTATGTCAAGGTCCATAATGGTCCAAGTCTGACGTTTATTATATTTAATTTTACTTTTTGATTATAGCTGAAATATTTTCCCTAGCTTCAGTCATTCAATCGTGGTGATTTGTCTTCAGCTAACGAGTCAAATACCTATCAAAGGAAAGGGCTAAAACAAATCTGCCCCTTTTAAATTAATAAACAAAATCTACAATGACTTAATCTTTTAATCTTAAACCCTTAATCTCCCTAGATATCATGTATTTTGAGCCTTTGTGTTTGAAATATTAGTTAAGGAATATTATAATATTGTTGCATCGGCCTCGTGGCGCAATGGTATCGCGTCTGACTCCTGATTAGAAGACTGGGTGTTCGAGTCACTCCGAGGTCAATTTTAACATTTCACATTAATATATCCAGTGAACAGAAATGTGTGGTGGTCAGTATTGAGAAAAAATCTTTTTAAGTTTGAAGGAGAAGCAATGGATTATATTATAACAATTTGTCTAATGATAACAGATTATGTAAACAAATGTCTATTAACCACAAGCCTTTATATTTCACTCGTGTCCCCTAAGACACCCCGTATTTTACGCCCCTCACTTGTCCCGAGCCAAGCGTCTCTATTATCATTCAACTTGATTTCACACAAAACAAAAAAATCAACGTTCCTTTTACTTATCATGATTTGTATCACTTGTCTAATCATTATTGAGAACATTATTAGTATCATTATTAATAGTAGTAGAAGAAGTTGTAATAAAAGCAGTAATCGTAAAATAAGTAATAGAAATAGTAATAGTATATTATTATTAATAGTATCTACAAATATAGTTGAATTGATAATTTTCACTATTGTATTTATTGGAAATTTTCTCTCTCTACACGAATATAGATCAATATTTAGTTTACTAATTAGAAAACAGGGTAACTCAGAAAAAATATAAACGGAATGTATTTCAGATTTTCGGAGTTTGCGGGAATACTTATGGGAGACAACGCATATCAACACGCGAGGACAATGTTACTGTTATGATTCAAGCATTCACGCGATCCCCACGAAAATTAATAATGGCAGTCTGTATACATATCTCTGAGACATCCTGTATAATAAAAGAACAGTCATACTATCACAAAATGTTACATTAATTTAAATATACAAAGTTACCAGTATTTTATTTTCACGTCATTTCCAACTAGTATTGTTTCTTTGGCTTTATAATACGTAAGCTTAAATATAGTTTAGCCACGCCTGCATTATGTCACATGTAATCTAGTGTTAAATATGTTGTATGTGGTGGAAGAGATTAATTCTGTGTTTTTTTTTTAATTAAGTCACAGCCAGTCGGCGTGTTTGTTTGTGTACTCGCATAATGAGAGTCAACACCCCATTATGCGTGACACCTATTTTGAATATGTTAATGTAGTGTGTGTGTGTGTGTGTGTGTGTGTGTGTGTGTGTGTGTGTGTAGACGGCATTGTGCGCTTCAGTCCTTTATGAGTGTGAGTGAATTGAATCCCATTAATTCTGTGTGTATAAGTACAAGAGTGGGGGAGGGTTTCTGGGGTGTGTTCTGAAGTGGGGGTTATAGGGTGGTGGGTCGTGGGCTAGGGTTCTGTGGTAGGGGTCATAGGGTGGTGGATCGTGGGCGAGGGTTCTGTAGTAGGGGTCATAGGGTGGTGGATCGTGGGCGGGTTCTGTAGTAGGGGTCATAGGGGTTTTGTGTAGGTTATAGGGTGGGTCGTTCTGTGATAGGGGTCATAGGGTGGTGGGTCGTGGGCAGGGTTCTGTGGTAGGGGTATAGGGTGGGTCGTGGGCGAGGGTTCTGTGTGGGTGGGTGGTGGGTCGGGGCGAGGGTTCTGTGGTAGGGGTTATAGGGTGGTGGGTCGTGGGCGAGGGTTCTGAAGGGGGGTTATAGGGTGGTGGGTCGTGGGCGGGGTTCTGTGGTAGGGGTCAAGGTGGGGAGGGTTCTGAAGATAGGTGGTGGGTCGTGGGCGAGGGTTCTGTGGTAGGGGTCATAGGGTGGTGGGTCGTGGGAGGTCTGATAGGGTGGTGGGTCGTGGGCAGGGTTCTGAAGTGGGGTTATAAATTGGTGGGTCGTGGGCAGGGTTCTGTGGTAGGGGTCATAGGGTGGTGGGTCGTGGGCGAGGGTTCTGGTAGGGGGTCATAGGGTGGTGGGTCGTGGGAGGGTTCTGTGGTAGGGGTTATAGGGTGGTGGGTCGTGGCAGGGTTCTGTAGGGTTATAGGTTCTGGGGGGTTATAGGGTGGTGGGTGTGGGCGAGGGTTCTGTGATGGGGTCAGGGTGGGTCGTGGGCAAGGGGTCATAGGGTGGTGGGTCGTGGGCGAGGGTTCTGTGGGGTTATAGGGTGGGTCATAGGGTTCTGTGGTCGTAGGGTTGGGTCGTGGGCGGGGTTCTGTGGTAGGGGTTATAGGATGGGTGTGGGCGAGGTTCTGTGATAGGGGTCATAGGGTGGTGGGTCGTGGGCGAGGGTTCTGTGATAGGGGCTCATAGGGTGGTGGGTCGTGGGAGGGTTCTGTGATAGGGGTCATGGGGGTGGTCGTGGGCGAGGAGTTCTGTGTAAGGTTATAGGGTGGTGGGTCGTGGGCGAGGTTCTGTGGTAGGGGGTTGGGTAGTGGGCGAGGGTTCTGTGATAGGGGTCATAGGGTGGTGGGTCGGGCGAGGGTTCTGTGGTAGGGGTCATAGGGTGGTGGGTCGTGGGCGAGGGTTCTGTGGAAGGGTCATGGTGGGGTCGTGGGCGAGGGTCTGTGGGCATAGGGGGTGGGTCGTGGCGAGGGTTCTGTGATAGGGGGTCATAGGGTGGTGGGTCGGGCGAGGGTTCTGTGGTAGGGATTATAGGGTGATGGGTAGGGGCGAGGTTCTGTGATAGGGGTCATAGGGTGGTGGGTCGTGGGCAGGGTTCTGTGATAGGGGTCATGGGTGGTGGGTCGTGGGCGAGGGTTCTGAAGTGGGGGTTAGGGTGGTGGGTCGTGGTTCTATCATGGGTGGGTCGTGGGCGAGGTAGGGGTTATAGGGTGGGGGTCAATTCAACCTTCTACTTCTATCATGGGTGGTGGGTCGTGGGCGAGGGTTCTGTGATAATGGGTGGTGGGTCGTGGGCGAGGGTTCATAGGGCATGGGTGGTGGGTCGTGGGCGGGTTCTGTGATAGGGCTGCGGTGGTGGGTCGTGGGCGAGGGTTCTATGATAGGGTTGGGTAAGGGTTCTGTGATAGGGGTTAGGACAAAAGAAAATTCTTAAAGAACCTTAAACATGATACATAAACCTATATATTATCTTCTTTGGACCCCCCGAAAAGAAGATTAGTTAACGAGGACAATTGGTTTCCATCGGCCTCGTGGCGCAATGGTAGCGCGTCTGACTCCAGATCAGAAGGCTGGGTGTTCGAGTCACTCCGGGGTCAATTGTAAACTTTTCCCACTTTAGAATACTTGGCGAGGAAACAAAGGAGTTGTCTTTAGTCTTTGAAAATTCTCAAGACCAGGATTTTTATTTCTTTGGGATGGAAAGGCATAGATATGTTATATCAAATCAACCCTTCTCACTGGTTTACGTTATACAAAACACCCATCGCACGTAATGTACAATAACACTTACATGACTACAAAATACGTCATCAAAACACACACCCATACACAAACAGGTAGCTCTTAACAAACTATAGTTCCACACAAGAGACACCAAGCAACACGTCTTCACAATACAAAGGGGACGATACGCGAAATGTTTAATATAACACTGCTCAGTTGTAGCCATATATAATAATAACAAATACACCACGAAATCATAGCAGACAGGCAACAACAGCACACGAGTAGACTTGACAAATTTACTTAGCATTGTATGTGTACTGCCAATACCTCCAGGTACTTAAGGATAATATGTGTGTGTACTGCCACCACTTAAGACACTAAGATAACACCTGAGGCACATATGATACCTGTGAATATGAGCACCTGTACACATTGACGCACGTGATAACACATTGTGAAGCACCACATCGAGGGAGACGACGAATGTGTGAGGATATATTTCCAATTACAGTATTAAAGAGAACCTGAGAGAGAGAGAGAGAGAGAGAGAGAGAGAGAGATAAACAATTACAAGCAGAGGCACTTGATCAGACAGACATAGAAAATTAAAAGTAGAATTTAACAGAGTGAGAAAAGAGTGACAGAAAGGCAGACTGAGGACTGGCTAATGCTAACTGCACAACAGACACATAAGTCAAGATCAAGCACAACAACAGACTCGCCAGTAGCCGTACAAAAAGGTTCATCCATAAGAGCTAAACGCTGGAAAAACTTTCGCTAAGGACTTAGAACTTGAAGTGAGAAAAGTTAAGAGATCAGATCCAGGAGGAGAGAGAGAGAGAGAGAGACTCAGTTTTGTTAAATAAATGTAAAGAGTAATAATAGCTGGAGTAAATAATGCTGTTGTTTTTGTAGAATGATCAACCTCAAACATAAGAAGTGTACTGAACTGAATACCTTACTTGATCCAGTTTGCCTCAAGTTAAATAAAAAAAAATTCTGAAGTGTCTGAGTGATAAATGTCATTCTCGAAAAAAAACTAGATGGTTGTTATGTGGGATGTAAATGCCAGGCACTGTTGTCTCTAGATTAAAGAAACAGATAGGATGTTAAGTCGAGACAGTGTTGATGCTTTTCCTCCACGCCCTTCAGCGTACATACAATTATTTCCCAAGGAGCTACCGTGTTTACTCAGGATAAACGTCGTGTGTTTGTCGTGGGTGTCGGGACAAAGTCGGCCGCTGCCTCAGTAATGGTCTACATCAACCAGGTGAGGTGTAACACACCCCCAGGGCACCGTACAGCGCAAAGAGATTTACTCCTTTTTACGAATACTTGAGGAAAGTTCTTGAGGCTCTCAAGCAGAAGACTACAGTCCTCGGTGGAGTCTATATATAACAAGCAATTTTGTTTCAACTTTATGGGTCGGTGAATTCAGGACAGGTGTTCGTGCTGGCTTGTGTACGTACAGTACATGTATCAAGTTAAATATGTGTAACTTAGCGGTGAATAAGTGTTATATTTTGATCCTACGACAGATGAACCAGCTGCCAAGTATTGATCTCGCCAGTTTCAGCTGGCTTAGCAAAGGGTAGTCTAACACTCGTCGTTCTGATTGGAAAACCGAAACAAGACGAGGGTACCCATGAAGCCTTCTTTTGTGTGACTGAAACACTGCCTGAGCCTAAGACAGCTAGCTAAGTCCACCTCACGCTGACCATGCTAGCGAGGGACTTGTCCTGTTATGGACCTTCTACTTAACAATCTTCCATCACACACACATACTGACGGAGCTCAACACTCCTCAGATAATATAAACAATTAGGTAACTAAAACTATT